CGATGGTAAACTTTTCCAGAAATCCTGGCTGGGGCGGGGGGAGAAGGGGGGAGGAAGGAGGACTGCAGGTAGAGGCTTGGCTGGAATCGGCGGGAGTCACCACTTGTAAAGGTGGAGGATAAATACTTTGGCACCTGGCATTCGGCAAACGGTGAAATACTATTGCAATCCCCATGGCTTTGGCCTCCCAAGACCAGCCTCCTGGGGAGGCCCTGAGCCCATTCTCTTTCCATGTTAGGAGAGAAAAGCCAAGTCCCTTCCTGTGGCCAATACTCCAACCTTGGTTTCCCTGAGCGGGAAACTGACTGATGTCAAGGCTGTTCTCTGTACTGTTCTATGGCAAGAGCCACTTGCTGGTGTCTAGGTCAAGGCTGGCAGGTGTGTGCACATTCATGTGTAGCACACACGACACACTGGGCTCCTCAAACTCCCCTGCGGGTCTCCCAGGATAACTAGCGCCCTATTGAAAAGGGAGGGATTCCAGGTCCCTCCCAACAAGTTGGGGTGATCTGTCCAAGGCCAGGGCGATGGGGCAAAGATGGACTTTCTGAGCAGTGTTTTACGGCCACCTATACAACCAACACAACTCCCAGGGCTGGCTATCTCAGGGCCTGGCATCTCTCCTTGCCTCGCCCCTGGCACCCCTCAGAAAGGTCTGGAGGACATGTGGTGAACACAGCCGAATTAAAAACCAGGTAGCACAAAATTCTACTCTGCTGTTCCAAGCAGCAGAAGTGACTCTTTGGATGGAAAGGAAACAGCAGGCCCTTGCTCTCCCAGCATCATAGGGGTTGTGCCAGGGGCTCTTCCTCCTGGGAGGGGCAGTCAGGAGGCATTCTGCCTGCCACTTCCTAGAACCTGATGCTCACCTTGCCACTCTTGCTCAAGAGCTTCTGTGGCTGGCCTGTCATATAACAAGCCCAAACTGTCTTGACCTCCCTTTAATCAACAACCCTCCAGACACTTAGACTACTCCACTTAGATGCACATTCCTACTGCATTGGACCACACAGGCTGCTGAATCGTGGATGACCTTTCTCTTGACCTCTGTTGTTTTCAAGGCAGCCTCCCCCAGGAAGCCCTCCCTGATAGTCCCCGTCCATCTTGCTTTTCCTTCTCTTATTAGGGAGCAGCAGAGATGGCTTTCTGCCATCTAACTGAGCATGCCAAAGTGGGCACTGGCCTTGCTCTGCCCCTTCCTGGGACGTGTGGTCCTAAGCAAACTAGCACCCCTTTGAGTCTCAGTTTCTGTCTTAATTATGGTAGGGAAATGGTCCCTTGTCACCAGCCTGAGGTGGATAACATGTTTTCCAGGCCTGGCTCGCCCAGCCCAGTGTTCTGCTTTTACAAATGGGGAACTGAGGCCCAGTGAGGGACAGTGTCTGGCGGGATGCACATCTGCAGTTAATGACAAGATCATGCTGCTGTCCGGGGTGAGGATGCTTCATGAACCATCCTGTCTGGATGTATTGACACCACTCTCCCTGACAAGAGTTGTCCAGCCTCAGGTACCATCTTGGTTACCAAAGAGAGCCAGGAGTGGCAATGGGGAGGTGGTGGTCTGGGGCCTGAGTCTTTCCTGCCATTAAGGGCACACCCTGAGGCGTGGCAATGAGCCAGGCAGGGAGGGAGTGTCCAGCTTTCTGGGGATGAACTAATTGGTGAGGGATGTGAGGCTAGCCACTGCCCACAAGGGGGGTGAGAGAGATCCCCCAGATGGTGATAGGGTGGGCCCAATTAGAAATTAAGGGGAAAGTCGGGCTGATGCCATATGAGCAGAGGAGCTGCTGGTTAGTACACAGCCCCTGCCCTGAGTCTCCTAAGTGTCCTTCACAGTCCCTGCCACCCCAGCTCCTGCCTTGGCTTTGGGTCCAGCAGGAAGGCCATCATCTATTCTGATTGGTCTACCCATGCCTTTCAAGGTGATAGATATTTTGAATATTATCCCCAGGAAAAGGCCTGCTGGTGATCACCACCAGTGGCCCATTTGGGGGGCTTCTGGAGGAGGGGCGGGGTGGGAGGCACAGCTCTTTTACTCAGCCTGGCCCTGGGCAGCTCTGCCAGGCACACCCTCCCAGAGCAGCTGGCTCCATTTCCATGGTGCCCTGCCCAACCCCTCCCCATCCCCCACTTCACAAGGCAGCTTCCTTTCCTCAAGAACCAAGTGTGTGCTGAGAAGTGGAAGCTCTTTTCACACTGCTGGGCAGGTGGGGTCTGGCACTCGGAGAGGATGAGCCAGGAAAGGATTAGTAACTAGGCAGCAGGCAGCTCCAAGCTGTGTGCCCAGGCAAGTTGGCTGCTTAAGTGGAAGGTCCTTGGCAACATGGCCTGCCACTCCCTGCCGAGGGGGTTGGGACTGCCCAGCATTGAGAAGTGAGCAGTGCCTGCACCCTGGGACAGTCACAGTGATGTCTGTCTGATACCCTGAAGAGGAAACAGAGGGTCTGGGTAGCACCTGTACTCTGAATGGGTAGAAGCCAGCCTACCAGCTTAGGACAGGAAGCCATCTGACGGAAGCACTGACTGCCAGGCCCTGGTGGGGCCCCGGAGCAGTTAGGAGGGGGTGGGTTGAGAAGGCAGAGTTAATCTAAAGAGCATCAGGGCAGCTCCTGCCAGAAGGTGACCTGAGTGCTGGGACAGCTGCCACCCGTGCTGGGCATCTCTGGGGCACAAGGGGCTGGCCACAGGGCCACTGCCAGCCAATTTGTGGGAAACCAGCCAATGCTTTCCCTGTGGCTTGTTCTGTGGTCCCACCAGGGGCCCAGTCTTCTCTCTAATCCCTTCCTCTCCTTTGCATCTCAGGCTCTGAGGACAGGTGAGTGACAGACGACAGGCTGGTCTGTGCTCTGACTGTGGTGTCTTTAGTTGGTGGCCTGTGGCCTCCATCTTTCCCACTGGGCAGACTCCTCAAAGAAGCTCCATGGACAAAGAGGACAGTCCTCAGAGGAGCATCCCTGGTGCTCTCTCTTCAGCCAGACTTTATATCCAGAGCACATCTACTTCCTGCTACACAGAGAACTCAGATCTTAGGAGGACCAAGAGCCCATGGGCACATGAGTGTTGGCCTGGTGATCATACCTGTGGCTTCGTGGTTACTCCGGGATCCTCACATCCCACTATTATAGTTAACCCCGATCACAGCTCACCCGACGTCCAGAACCTCTGGCCCCTGGCCCCTGGCCCGGGCATGCTGAGCACACCCTGTACATCCCCACCCCCATTCCTCCTGATGGGCCTGCTGTGGCTCACCCTGGCTCCCAGGGCAAGTTCTGGGCTACCTGCAATGCTGTCCCTTGCTACCTGTGCTTTTCATGAGCCAGAGCCAGAAAAGGCCACAAGGGGCTTATATGTCCTCCATGTGTTTTCTCAGCCCTGGACCTTCTAGAGTCCTGAGGGAGGAAGGGTGTCCTGGAAGAGCATTATAGTCACTTGGCAGATACCAAGGAAGGGTACCAGGGTCTCTTTGTGGAACTTACAGAGAACAGGGGTTGTTTTATAACTAAAGCATTTATTTTCATTCAATTCACTAACTGATTGTTCCACTTGGGTGTCTGCTTTTGTGCACAGGAGGGCCTGTGGCCAGATCTCTTGGCTGACAGGCTGCCTGTGGCCAAGACCTTTGGACCTGGGCAAAGGCCTGGTAGAGGGAAGGAGGTGGGAGAGAGTCACACTTTTTCTCCCTGGGGAAGGAGGAGTGCATCTGCCTGTTTCTCCCAGGGCACCCTCTGGAGGGTTGGGGTATCACAGTGAATGATCAGGGTCCTGCTCTCCCATGCCGCCTGGCTCAGGCTCCCAAAGGTGTAACTGGGTTTGGCCATCTGAGGACAGTCAGGAACCTTGAAGGGGACTGTTTGCCTGGGAAGTACTAGAAAGAGTGGGGCAGGAGGAGAGGGGAAGGGGCAAGGACTTCCAGCCTCAGAGCTCACTTCCACCCCAACCTGCTGCTTTCAAAAGCAGTCCCGAGCAGGGTGCTCCTCCACCTTGGCGCCTTCCCTCCTCTCCACCCGCTCCGGTCTCACTCAAGTCTCTGAATGGCCCACATGGCTCCATGGCAGTTGGCTTTGATGAGGCCTGGTGACAGGTGGGAGGAAGGATGGGTGTCAATGAAAGCCTTATATAAAAAAATCCAGAAATGTGCATATAAAATCTCGCCCTTGGTGTATTGCCTAAGTCAGTAAGCAGTAAGCACCTTCTTCCTGGAGAAGGATCAAGTCCTCAAAAGGTAGGAAATGTCAAAGTGTCACTTCATTGTCTTAAAAAAAAAAAACAAAAAAAAAACAAAAAAAACCCCAACAAACAAACCTCCCAGACCAAAACCACCCCTCACCAAAATACTCCCGAGTTCACGAATCGCTGTAAACAAACCCAGATGCAAGATCAACCCTTCTCAGTGGCAGTCGTAGCTGATGACAGTCACTGTAGCATCATCTTCGAGGTGAGGCCGGAGGGAGCAGGTGCCCGGGCTGGTTGGGGCCACGCAGAGCTGTGGACCTGGGCAGTCATCCTCAGGAAGGCTGGCCTGTTGGCATTACACTGGGCTCTGTGACCCAGGAGGACAACAGCCCCTTTTCAGCCCCATGAGCCGACAGCAGAAATGGTCTCTTATTAGAGCTCCTAAAAGGTTCCCCAAAGACAGAAAACTTCTGTTCGCCCAGTGGCAGCTGAAATGGATTTTCCCAGAGTGGTTCCTCCTGGTGCTTGGCTGTTGAGTGAGGCTCCGAGAGTGGCCGAAAGACAGGAGAGGAGGGCAATCCCTGTCTCTCCCCTTCACATTTGTTTTCCTGGAAGTGTTTCTTGGGTCTGGCCAGGCCCCCTTCCCAGAGGGAATTGGAGAGAAACAGCTTTTGGTCTCCAAATGGACAAATTGCGTGACTCTCCCAAGCCCTTTTCCCCCACAAGAACCGTCATCACCTTCCTTATTTGAATCCTCTTTTAAAAATATTCCTTGTATTTCCCGCCCCCTCCCAGGTCTAGTTTCTTTTCCCCGTTCCCTTTTTATTCCATCTTTTGAGTTGCACGTGTTCTTGGTGACGTCCTGTGGCTGGAGCGCTGCTTGGTTCTTCCTGCTGCCCATGGCCTCCTGGCAGGTAGCAGACCCTGCAGTGGACGGAGCACCAGGAGGGCTGGCCGGCATGGGGGGCAGAGGGGGGCGGCCCAGAGGAAGAGGCGAGCCAAGGCAGGTGAATGTCAAACCTCCACAGATTGAATCTGGTTCATCTGTGCCCGCATCACCTGGATACTGTTCAGGATTTTTTTCTGGTGACCAGCCAGGGTGACCCCAACCCGGAGAATGTCCCTTGAGGAGAGAAGTATATGTGTTAGGGAAGTGTGGGGGTAGAAGGGGTTTTGGGCTGGGTAGGAGCTGCCTGAGCTTTCTGCTGAGGAGAGTGAGGAAAGGGGTGTTGGGACTGGGGTGGCAAAGTTGGAGTGAGTGACTATGGTGAGCTGGACAAGCACGTGACTGGGAAACAGGACCCCTGGGTGCCCTTTTGCCCACTTCTTTTGTTTGTCCTTCATCCAGTTTACAGATGAGAAAACTGGCTGGGGGCACTGCTGGGATTTGTCCATAGTCAGAGCCAGCAGGCAGACCTGGATACCTCTCTGGACCTGACTCCAAAGTTGACCATCTGATCCGTTGGTTCCCATCCCCGCTGGGACACTGTCTACTCCTCACCCTCCAGAGCTCCCCCTGGGCTGGTGGAATAGGTGGGGAACATCTGCAGGTGGTGACAGTGGAGGTAGCTGGGCACTTACTCCATCATCATCTGAGACACAACGTCGAAGGAGGTAAAGCCAGCATTGGCAAAGCTCTCCTTGTACTGTCCCATCTTGATGGCCTCCAGCCACTCGTCTACCGTGTTAAAGCTGGTGTAGTCTGGGATCGTGCGGTCCAGCAGCGGCAGGTTGATGCTGGGAGTGGGGTGGGTGACAGAAACGGTCAAGGCACATGCTCGCAGGGAGCGCGAGGGTAGGACTGTGCATATGGGTATCTGCTGAGTGAATGCATGTGTGCATGATATGAACCTGTGTAAGTGTGCACGCATCTATGTGTGAGTGTGAGAGCGACTATGTGTGCAGGACTCAAAGCTGAGGTGACCTGGAAAGTCGGGGAAGGCTCTGCCGAGGCTGGACCACAGGAGAGGCAGGAGGATGCTTCTCCAGGCTTCCTGTTTGCAGGAGGTGAGACTTAGCTAGACTAACCACGCTGATTATTCACTTCTTCCTCTCCAAGACCATTCTCCATCCTTCTCTACCCTGCTGTGTGCAATGGGACCCTGAGCTTGTCGGAGCTAACGGAAACGACTGCCAAGGAGTGCAATGACTCTTGTGAGGGGAAAAGTTCAGAGTTAGAAATGGCCAACACAGGGTCATGGAAGGGATGCAAGAGTCAACAGGTAGAGGAATGCACAGAAATGTTCTTGGTGACAAGAACTTGTTAGGTGAAGGATTTTGGCTCAAGGAGTCCTTTCACAGGATCTTAAGGGTGCCTGGTGGGTGTCCGTGTGGGACTGTGGGAAAGTAAGAGAGCACAGGGCCAGGGGCTGTGTGGCCTGGTGAAGCCCTGGGACCTTGGGGAGAAGGGAAGCTGAGGGCTCGTGAGCCAATGCTCCATGACTGAGCCAGACTCTGTCAGAGACGCTGACCTGAGTGTGAGGACATGTATGTGTGTGTGGGAAGAGTGTACTTCTGAATGGGGGTGTGAATCTGCCTGTGGATGAGTCTAAGTGTGAGAGCCTGAGATTGTGTCCATGTATGTGAGATTGTGTCTCTGCGTGGGTAAGCAAGCATCAACTCTTGTGTCTAACTTTGTGCTCAGTCTGTGTGTACTGGACTTTACTTGTGCAAGCATGTGTGTGGGTGTATCTGTGTCGATGAGGACACAAACAGACATTAGAGGGGCCAAGTGTGGTGTGAAGGTAGCTAGGGAGGAAACTCAGAGATGAGTATATCTGTCTATCAGCTAAGGTTCTGGATCCTGTGGTAATGTTTCTGAAATGCTGTTTTTTACAGCCATGCTTTAAAAGGGGGGTTCTTCTACCACCCACAGACATTGTGTCCTCCTTCTCCAGACAGTCTGTGCCCCACGGTACCCCTGAATATGCCCAGTGAACACCAGTCCTTCCCTTCCCCAACCCTAGCTGCAGTGGGGAGCATCTACCTGAAGCAGTGGGGCAGGTATGGTTGTGATGGGAGAGAACTCGCAGAGGGAAGATGCTGGGGCTGAACGGTACTTAGAGGAGAGCAATGGGGCCACGGAGGAGGTGTGACTAGTCCATCAGTACCCAGAAGACAGGGGAGGAGCTAGGGTGAAGCCATACCTAGAGCAGGGTCAGGCCCTAGAGAAGAGGAGCCTGGCCAAGGTGGGGTTAGGAGGAGGGAAATGTGGGGGAGGGTGCCAGGGCAGAGGAGGGGACCCTGAAGAAGGGCAGGGCCCAGGCGGAGCTGAGAGGAGAGGGGTCAGGCCGGGAGGTGGGGGCGGGGCCAGAGCAACCTTACCCAGAGGAGAGGGGTGCCATGGCTTTGAGGCTATTAGGGTTTCGGATCATCTTGTCCAGCGTGTTGACGATCTGGCCGAACTTGGGCCGGTGGTTGCGGTCCTTCTGCCAGCAGTCTAGCATGAGCTGGTGCAAGGCGCTTGGGCAGTCCATGGGCGGCGGGAGCCGGTAGTCCTGCTCAATGGCGTTGATCACCTGAAGACAACACGTGGATAGAGTGAGGCTGGGTGGGTAGATGAGTCAAGGGCATCTTCCCCCGCCAGGCCCATCCTGTCAGCAAATCATTGCAGGTCTGACCTACGTGGGCCCCCTGTCCATGTCCCGGGGCTGATCTGGGTTCCCACCATCTAGTCTCAATCTGCCCTGGCAGCTGGCCCTCTGCTGGCCCTCTGCCAACATTAGTAAGTCCAGTGACCTGAAGTGTCCTCTCCCCTGAGTACACCAGGCTCTCTCCTGTGCCTGGCTCCACCAACTCCTTCCTCTTTCCCACTTGTGAGCCCTCTCCTGGCTCTGATGACTCCAAGGACACCGTCTCTGGTCCCCTGCTTGACTCCAGGGTGGCTACATTCTCAATTTCAGTGCCAGTCACACACACTTCCAGGAAAGAGATACCCGCCCTGTCAGGCCCCACAGCATGGCCTTGACTCTGGCTGGAGCCTCCTTCCCACAGCCCTACCTGCTCCTCTGTTAGGAAAACGGGGCCCCAACCCCCGCCAATCTCTTCTGTAACAGTGACCAGACTTGTCTTCTACAACTTGGCCACAGATCGCCTTCCCTGTTCTTGAAGCTTCAAGGCCTTCCTGTCTGCATTATTTTTGGTGGTTACTTGGGTTTGAACTCAGGGCCTCAGGCTTGCCAGGCAGGTGCTTTACAACTTGAACGCCCCCAGTCATTTTTCTTTAGGTGTTTTTCAAATAGGGTCTCTTGTCTATGCTCAGAGTGGTATAGACATGACACTCCTGATTTCTGCGTCCCGAGTAGCTAGGACTACAGGCATGAGACGCTGTGCCTGGTCCTATGTACATTTTTGGAAAGGAAAATGTTTGGATCCTGAATGTCCCACAGGTGCCCAGCCTGTGGTGCTATTGGGAGGTGGTAGAACTTTTAGGAAGTGGGGCACAGTGAAAAGTAGTTAGGTCATGGTGGGGGATACCCTTGAAGGGACTATTGGGATGCTGGTTCCTCCTCTTGCTTTCTCTTTGCTTTCCAGTAGCCTTCTCTGCCATACACTCCCACCCTGATGGGCTAACTAACCATTGTTCTAAAACTCTGAGTCAAAATAAACCTTTTCTCTTTTTGTGTTTATTATTTCAGATATTTTGTTATAGTAACAAAAGCTGACTAACATAGAACCTCACCAACCTTTCTGACCAACTTTCTTCTCCATGACTCCCCAAACCTCGTTCTTCTACCTCTGGACCTTTGCACAGGCTGTTCTTTCCACTTGGATGCCCTCACTCTCCAAATTCTACTGTTGTTTAAATGCCACCTGTCCTGGAAAGACTTCCTGGCTGCCGTTCTTGCCTCTATTGCCCCAGCCTTGACGTATACAGGGCTTGACATCTGCCTTCTCCAATTTAGCATCTGCTAATAAAAGTTCCTGATAAACCACATCTGGTTCCCTAAATAATTTTCTCATCTCCCTCTCCTATTTAGAGGGTAGACTCTCAAAGGGCAGACATGGCTTCATTCAGGTCTGGCCACAAGGGGCCCATAGTCTCAGGATTTGTTGATTTATGAACAGGTGGCCTTCCCTGCAGAGTCCAGGGTCCTGTTGCAGACCTCATCAGTCTGGGAGCTGCCCTGGCAGCTAGCCCCTAGATCTCAGGGGAACTGGGAGATTGGTGCAAGGCCAGGAGTGAGTACCCAATCTTCCCCTCCCCTACCCAGCTGGCCAGAAAGGCTCTTCTCATCCCCTTGGAGACTTACGTCCTGGTTGGTCATGTCCCAGTAGGGCCGCTCCCCATAGGACATCACCTCCCACATGACGATACCATAGCTCCACACGTCACTGGCCGAAGTGAACTTCCGGTACTGGATGGCTTCTGGAGCTGTCCAGCGGATGGGGATCTTCCCGCCCTGTGGGGCAGAGGAAGAGATGGATGGATGGGAGGTTGACCTGTCTGACCTCTTCTCTCAACACTCCCTATCCTGTGCTGTACCAATCCCATGAAGTACCTCATTGTTCCCCAAACTCACCAGGCTGCTTCAGACCACTGGGCATTTGCACATGCTATTCACTCTGCATCTTTAAGTCCCTTCAAAAGTCTTTCCTCCCAAAGACTGGCTGCTCCCACATGTCCTACACAGGTGGCTTACGAATGTGGAGGAGGCATGACCTGCCCAGCACAGTACGCATAGTGCCTGCCTGCATGGCTCTGCTTGCACTGGCCTCCTCTGAGCTCTTTGTGGGCAGGGCCTGAGTTTTCTTCCTTTGGGTTTAAAATCCTTCAGCCCTGGCTGCTATCCCAGGCCTCCAGGATGTAGTTCCACCTACCTCTCCTGCATTCCTTGTCATAGCCCTATTCCAGTTACATGATCTTACAAAAGAACATGTGGTCTCATGAACTTTCACTAGCCTTCAGCTCACAGCATAAATATCATCCCCTTAGCCAGCCTTCCTCTGCCTCCCAAGGCTGGTGTCTGAGCTCAGGGCCCTTCACTCCTTATTGCTTTGCACTTCTGGGTTCCCCAACAGCTTGGGGGCTCCAAGAGGACAAGAGTGTGGTTTGTGTCTCTCCCTGTCTCCAGCACCCAGTGCAGGGTTTGGCTCAAGCAGCGTTGGTGTCTCCTGTGATATGTGGCTCCTGGAATCCCTGCCTCCATCTTACCAGTGCACTGGTGTAGGTGGGGTCGGAGGTGTCATCTTCCAGGAAGCGCGAGAGCCCGAAGTCAGACACCTTGCACACCAGGTTGCTGTTGACGAGGATGTTGCGTGCGGCCAGGTCACGGTGGACGTAGTTCATGTCTGCCAGGTACTTCATACCAGCTGCGATGCCTCGTAGCATGCCCACCAGCTGGATGACCGTGAACTGCCCATCATTTTGCTTAGGGAGGGGTGGAAAAACCAGAGTCAATGGAAGAGTACCCATCAGAGCTCTAGATAGCTTCCAAATGGCAGGTCCCTGCCACCTTGGCCTAGGGCTCCCTGCAGCAAGAACTCAAATGCCCAGGGATGTCAGAGAGGCCATGAGAGGCCAACTTCATGGTGTTGGAGAGAACACAGGCTTTGGAGCAGACACTTCTGGTCTGCCCCTTCCTGACTGTGCAACCTTGTACACATGACCTAACTTCTCTGAGCCTATGTCCTCATCTGCGTGTTAAAGTGGTTAAGGAACGCTCACTTCCCAAGGCTGTTCTGTGTTGAACGAGAAGAGGAACACAGGTGCCTGTCACATGCTACATGAGTACTTGCTGAATAGCAGCTAGTCCAGTGGCACTGTCCTGACTCCCTGGCCAGTTCTCTTTGTCTCTCTGATTGACTATTATCTCCCAAGGTGCCTTGAACTGATTTTTCTCCCTCTAGCCTATGCAGGTTTGGGGAACTCCAAAATCTGCTGAAAAGTCTGGATGAGGCATCAAGACACCTGGTTCCAGGTCAAGCGCTCACCATGACCCTCTGGCTGACCCCTGGCAGCTCCTTGTCTTTGAACTTGGTTTCTTCTGTGCATTATGAGAAGGATGCCTGACAGCATGGGTGGAAACAGATCTCAGGTTGATGACAACACTGAGCAGCTGGCTATGGCTTCCTGGGGAGCTACACTGAGAAGGCTTCTAAGGTTGCTTCTGTCTGAGTGGGAGGGAGTGCTGGGATTGATTCATAATGCCATTTCACAATGGAAAGTACCCCCAGCAAGCCATTCCTGACCTACAGTTTTTCCCAGTACCCCTTCCAGCTCTGACGATGTGAAATTACATCTAGAGTTCCTTTCCCTGCCCCACACATCCCCTTGGCATTCTTGTCTCTCCCTACCCGGAGGAAGGAGTCTAAGGAGCCGTTCTCCATGAACTCAGTGATGATCATCACAGGTGTGCTCTTGGTGACAACTCCCTCCAGGTGGATGACGTTGGGGTGATCAAACTGGCCCATGATGGATGCCTCGCTCAGGAAGTCTCTGCGCTGTTTCTCCGTGTAGCCTGTCTTAAGTGTCTTGATGGCCACAAAGATCTCCCTCTTGCCCGGCAGCTTCAGGTGGCCACTGCAGACCTCACCAAACTCCCCTGGCATAGACACACCAAGAGAGGCAACATGTCACTTGCCAGGTGCCATCTCCCTGTTCCCTGCCACCTCCACTCCTAGGCCTGCAGGTGCTTTCTTTTTCATGCTCATCTCATCCTCTTAGACACAGACCCCCTTTGAGAATGTGCAGTCCACAGATGTCCCAGCCACCTTTGGGAGTAGAGAGTAGGACTTTCATGGCTGTTCCATGGGTCTAGTGGAGCATCAGGGTGAAGACATAGGGAGAACTGGGGAATTAGGGGAGGAACCTGGGATAAATGGTGGAAAGAAGGACAAAGCATTGGGAAGAGTCCTAGGAACTGGGTTCTTCACCCAGTTCAATCTCCAACTTGCTCTGCAGGCCCATTTGTAGCCCTGTACCTCAGTTTCCTCTTCTGTTTGTGAGGTGATTTTACCAGGGTGACCTTTGAGGGCCGGTCTTCCTTGGGCATTCTGAGCCTTCAATCCTTGAAGGGTCTTTTGTGGCCTTGTCCTATCCTCTGTCCCAGGAGTACACCTGGGGTAGTCTCCCCACCCACAGCTGAAGCCACTGCACCTGTGAGGGTACCAGTCACCTACCTGCTCCAATCACCTGCTCAATTTTGACACAAGAGATGTCGATTTCCTTGGCAAACTCCCGCACTGCCTCATTGGGGTCTTCATAGGTGAAAGGGTCAATGTAGATCTTCATGCCAGGGGTCACTGGGGGACAAAATGAGGCTTGATCACATGGACTGGCAGACTGGCTCAAGACATGCACATATGGAAAGACAGGACCAGTGCATCCAGCAGGAAAGACATTCTGTGTGGCCCGCATAACCGGGTGACCCCCCTACTTAACCTCTTTGGGCCTCATTGAGCAGATGACTAGTAGAAAGGCAAGGGGAAGAGAGACCCAGCAGAGGGGGCAAATAGATTCTAGCTCTCCTCCCAACTCTCTAGATTAGTAATGACTTTCTGGAGTAGCTAAAATGGTCAGAGTTGATTAGCAATGCCTGTAGTGGGCGTGGGCATAGAAAAACAAAAGGCTAATAGATTGGTTGCCCTTCTGATAGAGAACCAGGGGTGCAAAGGAAGAGGAAATAGAAAATGAAGAGAAACTGGAACTCAGATACAGGAAAGGCAGGCATTAGAATGTGTAGTTTCTGGGTCCTGCTGAGAAGATCGCCTCCTCTCCCCCACCCCAAACCCCTCTCAGTCACTCAACCCTCCAATTACCTTCCACACAGGCCCCAAAACCTGGAGGGCAAGTCGTCACTTGGGTCTGAGTACCCATAGTTCCTGAGTTTATCTCCCGGTCCCGCCACTAGCTAAGTGTTAAACCTTTTTAGATTCCTGAATCCCTGGTGATTGGCATAAGGCCAGACAAGCGGGAACACTAGCTTCATTCCTGAGTGGATGGAGTTTTTGTTTTTCTTTTTCTTTTTTGCAGTACTGGGGCTTGAACTCAGGGCCTACACCTTGAGCCACTCCATCAGTCCTTTTTTTGTGATGGTTTTTTTTTTTCGAGAAAGGGTCTTGTGAACTATTTGCCTGGGCTGACTTTGAACCTAGATCCTCCTGATCTCTGCCTCCTGAGTAGCTAAGATTACAGGCATGAGCCACTGGCGCCTGGCAAGGATGGATATTTTTATTTATTTTGGTAGTATTGGGGTTTGTACGCAGGGCCTTACACTTGCTAGGCAGGTGCTTTACCACTTGAGCCACTTCCCCAGTCCTTTGTGCTTTGGTTATTTTTCAAATAGGTCTCACTTTTATGCCTGAGTCAGCCTGGATCACTATTCTCCTATTTATGCTTTCTGAGAAGCTGGGATGGCAGGCGTGCGTCACCAGGTGTTGGAGCCGGTAATATGAGGTTGGCAAACTGGCCCACTGCTTGTTTGCAAATAAAGTTTTATTGGAACACAGTCATGTTCATTGCTTTGCCTGTGGCTGCTTTTCTGCCACTGTGGTAGAGTTGGGTAGTTACAACAGAGATTCACAAAGCCTAAAGTATTTGCCGAGCACTCCTCTACCTCATCCGTGTTCAGGAATATGTGTGTGGTCCAGTAAGTCAGGGATTCTTAGTTTGGACCTGGGAATCCCATCTTGGGAGCCCCTGGATGGGCTTTAGGAAGTCTGGTAACCCCCAGGAATCAAATTTATTTATTTATTATTATTATTATTGCCTTTTTGGATTCGTGCCTCTTATAAGGCCCCCAAATTAAGGAAATAAATATCATTGAAAAGAAAATTTCTTGAAATCCATTTCTGAGTATGGATTTCTGGATTTTCCTGACTTAGAACTTTAAACACTTGCACACAGAGACGTGTTTGTGTTTTTCTGGCTATAGGATCCAGAATTTCGAGCAGAGTCTTATAGGAGCCCGAGACCCCCAAAGAGGTGAAGGACCAGTCGCCAGCCTGAGTGCCTGGAAGGAAGCCTGGGCGTGGGATCTCTTCTCATTTCTCCCTCCCCTGGCACAGTGCACAGATCTCTGCACACAAAAGCTGGATGTCTGGAGAACCCAGAGAATCCAGATGACAGGGACAGAATAACAATAACAGCAGCTGTCACTTACTGAGGCTTTTGTTTGTGCCCAACACTGTGCCAGGCTCTTTATAGGCATCAACTCATCTCTTCTTCCAACAATTCTTGGAGGAAAGGATAATTACGCCCACTTCATACATAAGGAAACTGCAGCTCAGAGAGGCCAAGTAATCTGGCCAAGACCACACAGCTAACAAATGGTGCAACTAGAGTTTGCGCCCTGATGTCTGTCAGACTTGAGCCCAGTGTTAGTTCTCTTAGTCACCGTGTTGCCTGCCTCCTGGGTCTAGCCCAGGCCTCCTCCACCTGGAATATTCAGCCATGCATGACTTCCTCCGAGCCAGAAAGCAACTCCCTGGAGATGCTCTTTCTTGCTTGGACTTCATGCGTGGTCCATGGGTCATAGTCACTGGCTTTTAGCCTCCCTCCTGTCAGAACTGGGGTGGGGGAAGCCAGGATGGGGCCGCTCAGGAACTAGGGGGAAGTCCAGCAAGAACTCATCCAGGGCCAGTAGTTAGATGCCATCCCCAGACCTTGCAAGGACCATTGCCAGGTGGGCTCTGTCATTTATGGGACAGATGCCTGTGCCTGGGACTCCAAGCCCTCTGTGACTTGGCCCCAGCTCCCTGCCTGCAGCTGCTATAGTGTGGATGTGGTTTGCCCCCTGTTGGAGGCATGGTCCTCAGTGTGGCAGTGTTGAGTTGGTGGAAGTTTCCTTTAAGAGGTGGAGCCTGCTGCAAGATAATTAGGTCATAGGGGTACTGCCTTCAGATGGCATTGATGGCTCTTGGTTTGTTCTTCCAAAAGCTTATAAAAGAACAAGACTGGTCTTTCCCTACTCTCTGGCTTCCTGTCTCTCTATGTGATCTCTCCCTGTTGGATGTGCTCCTGCCATAATGTCATCAGAGCCCAGGAGATGACGGTGCCATGTCCTTGAACCTCCAGATTTGTGAGCTAAATAAACCTCCTTTCTTTATACATTACCCAGTCTCAGGTATTTTGTGACAGCAATGGACGAACATGCAAGATAAAAGGAGTTTTTACCCTGTGTTTTAGGCACATTTCATTACTTATTGCCTCTGAACTTTAGTTAATGTTATTCTCCCCACCTGGAATACCCTCTCCTCTTTCCTCTTTGTGACCAGATCAAATGCTGCCTCCTCTGTGAAGTCTGCTGGATTCCTCCAGTAGAGGCCCGTGCCCCTCTGTCCACCTGTTTGGGGTCAGGAATGCCTTTGGGAATGTGATGAACGCTACAGATCTGCTCTGTGGAAAAGTATTCCCATGTGGCTTGAACTCCCAAATTCCACTATAATCTTGGGTTCACAGGGCCTTGGAAGCTGTAAGGATCTGTGAACCCCAAATTATGCACCCTTGCTTGAGAATGGCAGCTTGCAGTACATGTGTGAAAGTGGTTAATATTCTTTCTAAATGCTTCATGTATGCTCAGAATAGATTTAGCAGGTCAGTCTGTCCTAGGCAGTTTATAGTCTTCCCTCCCATACTAGGGTTTGAACTCGGGGCTGTATGCTTGCTAGGCAGGTCCTCTACCACTTGAGCCAGGCCCCCAGCCCTTTTGCTTTAGTTTGTTTTTCAGATAGCATCTCCCACTTTTGCCTGCAGCCAGCTTCAGACCGAGATCCTCCTACCTCCACCTCCCAAGTAACTGTGATTAGCTTTTTATCCCATTATTCCTCAAAATGACCCTACAAGGTCAATGCTATTTTTAGTCTGAACCTTATGAAATTGTCAATATCTGACAGTTTCTGACAAACTGATAGCAATTTCATTTGGTCCAGCCCCGTTTTACAGATCAGGAGACTGTGGCACAGAAAGGTGAAACGACCTGTCCAAGGCCACAGGAACACAACTAACAAGTGGCAGTGGTGGGGTCTGAACCCTGCTGGTGCCAGGGCCCACATGGTGACCATCAGGTTGCCAGTTTCTTGGAATGCTTCCCCACCTGTCTTGGGAGCAGCAGGTGAACTCCTTCTTTGGCAGGAGCCTCACACAGACCACCCCTGAGGTGCATTTGCTAGCTGAGCCTAGATGAAAGCCTCTGCAGGCAGCAGCTGGGCTGAGGGTTACATGGCTCACAGCTGTCTGGGCCACTGACTATGGTCCTGAACCCAGATGGGAACTTCAGGAGGTGGGAGGAGGAACCGGGTTTGCAGAGTCCTGGTTTGGATTCTGTCTGTGCCACCAATGAGGGTTCCACATACACTACTTCATAAGCTTGGTCTGGATGTGCTCCCTTATCTATGGGTCTCACTCTTTTTGTTTACACAGTAGGCATAAAACAATGCCTGCCTCATTAGGGAATTGTGAAGATTCAAAGTATCTTTTTAAAGGTAGCAAATAGGAAGAAGTAACTCACTATTACCTGTTATAAAGAAGAGTTGGCTATGGTAGCCAGGTGCAGGTGGCTACTTGAATTGTTGAGATTGGGAGGAGTGTGGTTTGAGGCCAGACTGGGCAAATAGTTTGCCAGACCCCATCTCTAAAATAACCAGAGCAAAGTGGGCTGGAGGTGTGGCTCAAGCAGTAGCGTACCTGCTTTGCAAGCGTGAAGCCCTGAGTTCAAATCTCAGTCCCACCAAAATAAAAGAGTTGGCTTTTGCTAATTATTATTATTACAATAACAGTATAAATATTACAATAACATTAATTCCTCATGACTCTGTGAGAGAAGTATCTTTTCTGCTACATCCTGTAGAAAGATGCAAGACTCAGAGAGGTTTGATACTCTCCACAAGGTCATCAGCTGGCCAGTGGCAGGACAGGGATGAGAAACAAGGTCAGTCCCTCTGGTTTCACAAACAGGCACCGCAGCCCTTGGTCCTCGTTTAGTACCTGCTGATGGAAAACATGAGCCCCAGACAAGACTCTGAGCCAGTGACATACATCTCTGGGCCTCAGCTTTCTCCTCTGTCCTGGTCACACAGGGTTGCTGGGTACATCTGGGATCACAGGTGACACTGCTTTGGAAAGAACAAAGTCTTGCTTGGCTCATGGTGTGAGAACTTGGGCTTAAAATGTATTGATCTTTGAACAAAGCCTGGTGTCTATTTTAAAAATAAACCTTACCCGTTTCCTTATTATCGACTCTCGCTCCAAATAACCATGCTCCCAAATGGCTCCAGGAGGTGGAGTGTGCGCCTGCCTTATTCTGACTCGGAAGGATGGGGACAGCACAGGGTGGCTGGGAGCGCATGCATCGGAGCCAGGCTGAGGGGCTCAGACCCCAGCTCCTTCCCCAAGCCGCTGTGCAGTCATGTGCCTTACACAAAGCGAATGGCATTTGCCTTAAACAGACACGTACACGCTAAACGTGGAAACAGTTCTTGGCACATAGGATGTACTCAGTGTGTCTGCTCATATCTGTGATCTTGACCTTATTACTTGGGGTAGGAGGGAGGGACATAATTTATGATTTATGCCTAACACAAAGGGATCTTTACTTCCGGGCAGTTAAATGTGTCTTTTTGCTGAGATCTTCTTGTTGTTTTTAGGCTTTGATAGTCCCTTTCCATTGCCCTGTCTCTTGTTACTTCCAGGATCTTCTGGAAATTTTAATGGCTTACTTAGTTTTACATTTATGTCCAAAATGACTTCTAAGCCTAGGAACTTCTCCTTCAAATTGTCTGAGTCTGAGTTGTCATAACTGTAACTCTTAGGCTTTGATCTTCCTTGCACACCCCACCTCTGGTCCTACAGTGAATCTAGTGGTAAAAATATATCCCAATCCATCTACTTCCTGCCACTTCCTCTGATGCCACCTGTTCTAGCCACCATTATAACCACCCTGACTATTCCAACTGCCACCTCACTGGTGTCCCTGCTTTGGCTCCTTTGGTCCCTTCTCCAAACCGCAGAGAAGGGACCTGCCAGAACTGTGACTCAGAGCGTGCCAGTCCTCTTTGCTCAGAACCTTCTGTGGTTTCGCATTTCACTCAGCATAAAAGCCAAGGCTCGGTCTGGCTGACAAGAATCTGCATGTGGCAGCTCCCTCCTGCCGCCCAGTCCTTCCCTCACTCTGCTCCAGCAACTCTGGCCTCTTTGCTGTTCCTAAAACTAATCAGGCCTGTTCCAGCCTGAAGACCTTTGCACTGGCTGTCCCCTCTGCCTGCAATGCCCTTCTCTCAGATATGTCCGAGGAGCTCCTTCCCTGTTCCCTTTTATTTGTTCCAATAAAATCCTCTCGGTGCCAACCCTCACTCCCCACACTTAAAACTGTAGCCCAGACCCCCACCGTTCCCAATCCACTGCTCTGTATTCACTTATTTTATGTCTAGTTCTTCCCTGCCCTTCCCACTAGAATGTAAGTTCTGCAGAGGCCTGGGCATTTGATTTGTGTTTTTGGTGTCCTCAACACCTGGGACAATGCCTGATGTTCACAGCAGGCCCAACACAGATGTGTGACGAAAGAGGAGAGAGGAATGAGGACCTTTCTCACATGGAGGTGGCCATCTAAGGAACCCTGGGGTGCCACTGAGCATAGTTTGGGAAGCAACATTTGGAATCATTTTTGCTGAGTAAGCTGAGGTCAGGTCTAAACTTCCTTGATACCCCCAAACTCCCTACTTCCTGATCACTGGTTCTGCCAAGGTCACACGGAGGGAGGAATCCATGGTCTGCTTTTCTCTCTGGCCCATGCGGCCCACCTGGTCCCCTGCTCTAGGGTTGTGTGTGTGTGTGTGTGTGTGTGTGTGTGTGTGTGGCACATGTGCCCCAGTCCTGGCCTGATGTAGGACAGGGCAGTGGGGGAAATGGGATCACCATTTCACCAGAGTGTCAGGAGGAAGGATGGGGTTGGAGCCCCAGTGGGAGGAAGGGGCCAGCTGCTTTTCTTTCTTCCCTCCTGGGTTGAAGCCTGGGTGTCATCATTCATTCATTCACTCATTCATTCTACAGACATGTGCCTGCTCTGTGCTGGGTGCCCCACTGGTGCCAGGAAGACAACTGCAGGTCTCTAGGGGCCCTGCTATCATGGCAGGAGACCAGGAACCAACCACAACAATGCAGCTTGGTAAGGGTGGCCATACCAGCTCAGATGGGGGCCTAGACATGGGGTGGTGGGGCCCAGGAGGGCTTCTCTGAGAGTTTGTGGGTGAGGGGGCCTGAGGGATGAGTGACAGCTGTGCAGGAAGAGAAGGGGAGAGGGTGTAGAGTGAGGCACAGGTGCAAAGGCTGAGGGGTGAAAGGGAGCTTGGCTTATCTGGGGACCTGCTTGACATTCAGTCTGGCTACAGTGTGGCAGGAAGAGCTCGAAGACACTGGAGAGGTCCCTGGGGAGCTGATAGTAAAGGGCCCAAGGGTGCCAGCCTGGCTGGGGTGTGTACGTACTGTGGCCACTGGTGTAGTGCTGCAGCTTGTCTGTGTACTCCGAGTCAGCACGCTCAAACCCCCGTCTTCTGGAACAAAAGCAAAGGGCTGGAGCCATCTGGAGGCACCCAGGAAGCTGGAAGCCATAGTAGGTGATAGGGAGAGGGTGGGCAGACCCTTGAAGCCATTCTCTGGCCTTATGCCCAGTGGAAATTAGAAAGCTGACCCCACCCTCCTGCCTTTGTCCACTCTGTCCTGACCACTCTGATGCTGTGTCCAGCACTCCATCCTGTCTCAGTTCTGACCATTTTTCCAGCACTTCAGCCATGGGGCCTAAACTAGTGGGGTGATCTGCACCCCACTCACCATCCCTGCAGTTTGAGTGTCCTGCAGTCACCTTTGCCCACTGTTCTGGGACGTCCCTTCCCACGCAGTGCACCACCCATAGTGGACTTGTCCAGGGCAATGTCCCCCCTGTGATGGACGGGCCTCGGAGGTTCCCTCCCTGTCCCAGCAGCTGTGGGAAGGCCTCAGGAGCTGGCTTGGGGACAGCACCCACCTGTTACACACAATGACGATGACGACCACAGCAATGAGGAAGACCAGGCCGGCAGCTGAGGAGCCAATGATGAGAGGCAGCTTCTCCTGGATGCTCGTCTGGTACTCGGCTGGGGAGAGAGCACAGCGGGTGCCTCAGCCTGGCTCTGGGCTCCCTACACTGCCCCCTGCTCCTTCGCCCTGCTGGGTCTCCAGGGACCTCCAGGCTCTGCTCTGCTTCTGAGAGCATATGTCACAAGTCCATGCAGAAATGACCCACTACCTCCAGGGAACCTTGGACAGGTTCATGAACTGCTCGAATCCTCAGTTTCTCATCTAGAAAGTGGGCATAATGATACCTTTGCTCCCATGTTGATGTGACAACCAGAAATAAACACAGCTGATGTACACCAAGAGGCAGCTCAGAGCAGACTGGAGCCAGGCTCCCTGGGTGTGAATCCTTACAGGGCCACTTGCTGGCTGAAGGAACCCTGGCAAGTCACTTACTTCCTTGTGCCTCAGTGCTCTTGTCTATGAAATGGGGAGAATGATGGTTCCCAGCTCATAGGATTGTGTGTGAAGCCCTCAGAATAATACCTGGCACAGAGCTAACACTCAGTGAATATTAACTATAGTGTCATATGTCACTCGCTGTGCCAGGCATGTGATGTTTTTAGTCCTAGGACACACTCCATAAGATGACCCCATCTTTGCTGATGAGGACACTCAGCTTGATGAGGTCATGACTTGCCTGATGTTCTACAGTTAGGAAGATATCCAAGCCAGCCTGTGAACTCAGGTCTGCCTGACCCAAGGCGGGGGGCTTAAATAAGAGAACATAAAATACACTCTGCACTGACCCAGCTCTCAGATATCACCTGATACATTCTCCATGCCACCCACCCATCTTTGCTCTTCATTTTGTTATTACTTCTCTGCCTCCCTGACCAGAACAGGAGCCTCCCAAGGTCAGGGTGAGATCAGCTCGGCGTCCTTAGTGCCCACACACAGCCTAGCACGTGGCAGGGACCTAGCACACATTTGTTGAATTAAGAAAGGAATTTGGGACAGTACCCCAATCCCTAGTTAGTGACCTCAACCAACATGGGAGGTGAAAATGCTGGTCATGAGGCAGGGAAACTGGACGGAAGAGGGGTGGACACCTGGGGAGGGTTTCTATGGATTTAGGGACCCAGACAAGAATTTAGGGTTCAAACAGACAAAGGCTGTGGCTCAGGCCCTGAGGCTGAGTAGATGCTAAGAACAGATGCTGGAGTGTAGCCAGAGGTAAAGAAAGGTGCCCTGGAGCCCAGCTGGCTGACGACAGGGCTCCTAGACCATTGGTCATGACAACTAGGGTGTAACTACTGCCTGGTGAGGGCTAACTATTTGTGGAGCTTAAAAGCAACACTGGATTGGGTCCCTCATCCTTCTAACCTGTTTGATGATGATAATGACATAATTGTTATCACTCCCATTTAGGGATGAGAAAACTGAGGGTCAGAGAGGTAAGGTGACACGTTTGGGGTCACACCATTATGGCTGAATCAGCACTGGAATCCCCATCTGTCTGGCTTCAGAGGTCCCACTCTTTGAAAGCTGTTGCTCCTCACAGATCATTAAAGCAGAAATGGTTTTCAGAGACCCTGCAGTCCCAGGTTGGAAGCACACAAACACTAGGCTGCAACCTCTATTCCTTGCCCAGGGCAGACATCACTAATCCATCCCAGAACTTCTTCCTGCTGAGTTTAGGGGTGGCTTCAGAATTCTCAATCCCATTGCAAGTGGTGGGAAGCTGGGTGTGGATAAAATATGTCTCCTCTCTCTGATGTATTACAAATATTCTCATTTTGTAGATGAGAAAAATCTGGAGCAGGGAATGGAAGTGACTTGCTCAGAGTGGCCCTGCAAGTTAGGTCTGAGCTCCCCAGTGGCCTGGGAGAGGAAGAGGCCTGGCTGATATGATGGCATTGGAAGAGTCTGGGACCTTTCTGGTTGAGAAGTTTGTACAGTGCACAAAATTCTACCCAGGAGGGAAGGGACGCTGCCATCTAGAAGGAAGGGTGTGTGTGCCGTTTCTAGGTCACACAAAGGCTCCGTAGGAATACGGCCCTGTATTTGCTCCGTTTGTGGAGCCCGTGCCCTCCTCCTGCCCCATGGATTCTGCTCACCTTCCGTCATGGTCTGGAAGTACATCTTGCCGCTGTAGCGCCCGTAGCCGGCCACGGTGCGTGCCCGCACCTGGAAGACATAGATGGCGCCGGCTTTGAGGCCCTGCACAGTGGCCGTGTTGGTGGGGCTTTTAATGGCTGTGGCGTTGAACTCACTTAACTCCTGCCAGGGAACAGAGAAGATGGTTAGTGAGGGTGTGGCCCACAGGGGGCCAGGAGCCCACTGCCCACTGCTGCTCCAGCTCATTGGGGACAGGTCTTCCCTTGGAACAGAATTACACTGCCACACCTGTGCCATGTGACTGAAATGCAGCCCACAGAAGGAGCAGAGTGATTCCTCTGCCTCATAGATGTTGGATTTAGCCATGTTACCACTTTGGCACATCCTAGTGGGCACCATGCAAGTGGGCTTGGCTCCTGTGCATGAGGGGCTTGACCAGGTAACAGCTGGTTCCAGAATGAGAGACATGTGGAGACCCTGACTCCAACTCCTAGGCTGAAACAGGTCACACTAGTGACCCAGAGGCACAGGTCCACAACAAGAAAAGCAGCTGCTTGCTGTTTTGTGCCAGGACCTTTGGGGGATTGTTCGTTTTGCAGCATTATCTCAGCAGCAGCTGACACATACACACATGTCAAGTGGCCACTGGGTGCAGGCTTTAAGGACTGAACTAAGTGCTTGGAAACAGCTGGGAGAGGCCCACCTTACTACTTCTATACCACCTCCCTGCCCCATGCCTTGAAGGGGGAAGTAGAAGAGCCCCTATTCAACTTCATCACACCTGAGTGTGGTGAGAACTGAGGCCTAGAAAGCGAAAATACGGCTCAAAATCCACGACATAGCTGATGGCTGCTTTAGGGCTCAAACCCAGGCTCTGTATGGAGTCATCTCTAATGCCCATGCCTTTGGATGCCCAGAACCTGATGTTCCCTCCTTTAAGAGACACAGAACACCAGTTCTGGCCTCCTGAGCATTGCCCAGGGAGACACAAGGAGCCTGAGGAAGGACAGAGATCCAGCTGTGCAGTGGGAGTGCAGATGTGGCAGGGATACATGAAGGTGATGCGTGCTCAGGCACCTGTCACCTACTCTGCAGACCTTCTCCAAGTCCCCTCTTGTACTGGGCCTGGACTGGGTGCTGGGGTCTCACAGGGGACTAAGGCACAAGCTGTGGCCTCAGAACTCAGTCCAGAAAAGCAAACAGTACAGATATCTCAACATCTGAAGACTGTGAGCCTCTTAGAGAAGGTAATGGAAGCCATGAGCCTTTCTCCATGAAACGCACACCTAATCACACATGCTGATTGTGTTTATGTTACAGGAGGCCTGGGGTCCTCAGAGCCCCCTGAATGATAGGCAGTGTTGTCACGAGGCATTGTGGGTGGAAGCTAAGACCCACCCGACTTCCTGGGTTCGAACGCTGGCTCTACTGCTTATCACCTCTGTGACCCAGGGTAAGATCTTTAACTGCTGTGTCTCTTCTCCTTCAGCTATAGAATGGGATGATAGTAACAGCTACCTCAAGGTTTGTTTGAGGACAAAATGAATCCATGGGCACAAAGTGCTCCCAGTGCTGTGGTAGGCACAATGAGCTGAGGGGCGAGTCCTGGCCTGGCTGGAGTATTACAGGCAAAGTCAGGAAAAGCTCCCCTGGAGAAAGAGTGTGTGTGTGTGTGGGGGGGGTAGCTGGAATGGAACCCTAGAGAACAAATTGGAGCCCCCTAGGCAAAGAAGGGCCTTCCTGGCAGAAGGAGCAGAAGGTGCAAGGCAAGGTCAGGAGGAGCTTGGAATGTGAGGCTCCCCTTGGGAGGATGGGGTGGGTTGTGTGGGGCAGACAAGAAGTCACTTTTCCTGAGCCAGGTCATCTGCTGCCTCCTCCATGAAGGACACCTTGATTCCCACACAGATGTGCCTCCCCCTCCTCTGAGCCCCAGAGCACTTGCTGTGGGTGCCATAGGAAGGGGACTTGTATGCCACGCAGGTGCATGTCTCCCCCGCCTTGACTGTAAGCTCATGAGGACCGGGCTGAACTTTATTCCACTATGCCAACCACAAGGTCCCGGTACAGAGCCCCTCCCCAGCACCTACAGGGGAGGTCGACTTCTCTGCCTGACCCTCCACCCTCTGTCAATTCCTCCTGCCACATCCCTAATGTCCTCTAGGTTACAGCCATCCCCAATTATTTCCTCCTTCTCTGAGATGGCTGCCTAATCTGGCCCACACAGACACAGGTTGTTCAATTACATTTGAATTTCAGATAAACAATAAATTTTTTAGTTTAAGTATGTCCACACAATATTTGGGACATATACAAAAAATTGTTGTTTAAATTTAAGTTTAAGCTTGTGTCTTGCATCTTATTTAATTAGTTAATTTTTTTCAGTACTGGGGATGGAACCCAGAGCCTCGCACATGCTAGGCAAGTGCTCTCCTGAGCTACACCCCAGCCCCTGTGTTCCATATTTGATCTGCAATCCCACTTCCTTGAACACTCTGAGCTCTTGCAAGCAGGTCTGAAATGTTCTTTTCTCTCCTATCTGGCAGTTTGCTACTCATCATTCAAGACTCAGCATAAGTGCCACCTCTGTAGGGGACAGTTCCCAGGTGTCCCAGCCCGGGGCTGCAAGTCCAAAACCTCCTCTTCTACCTATTGTTCTGATACACATGTCCATCTTTTCTACGGATGTGTGCTCCCTAAGGGCGGGGGCCACGCCATTCATATCCAGATTTACAGGCTCAGCACACAGTAGGCGCTCACTAACTATTGACATAAACAAATGAGTATACAACTATTCAAAAATGCCAAGACTTGGATGCAGTACAAGAAGTGACCACTAGGTGCCGCTGCACAACACGGGATTTGCTCCCTGTGCAAAAGGAGGTTGGATTCCGCAGACCCGGCAGGTGCCCATTTCTGGATGTGGGAGGTTTTAAGTTCCTGATGATATGAGGAGATGACAGATAAATGCTGGTGCAACAGGTGCCTCAGGAGAGTGAGGCATCACCCCACGCAAATCCTTTCTTTTAAGGCACAGGATGGAGCCTGGGTTGGACGCAGTTTCAAATATCAGGTCATCTTCCACTTCACGGCACCATGGCCTCGGGAATGACCCTTCATTCCCCTGAGCCTCTGTTTAACACTCCAGAAAATGGAGCGGTACACACCAATTCCTCAGGGCTACTGTGAAGAGAAAATTGGATCAGGTATGCCTCGCACCATGGAGAGGCTCAGAGGCTTCACCTTCCACCTCACCTCTTTGGAGTTTGTCAGTTGATCAATAATGAAAGTCTGCTGGGTGATGGGAAGTCCTCAGTGGGAGTTCTTCCCTGGAGGCTTAGGGCCAGTGAGGCACGGGTGTTGTCTCCCCTCGTCCCCACCCCGCTGTGGTTTTCTCATCTCTAAAGTAGGATAATCCCAGTGGGTACCACACTGGGTGATTGTGGATATTCGGTAGAATATGAGCACAGTTATTAGCACACACATGCCAAGTCCTGCCGCCACGATTAGGAACTAATAAAGGTCGCTATTATTGTTACCAATGCTAGTCCTCACCAACGTTCACAAAATGAATAAATGAACCCAAAGGTGAACGAATACATGAACAGAACCTCTCTCCAGATACACTGGACGACAACCTGAACACAGCACGGACCTTCACAGTTCATCCCCAATCCCCATTCCTTGCTTCCTCTGGCTGCAAAATCCTTCCCCTTGGGGCCACCAGGCAGACATTTCTGTTAAATAAACACTGACATCCACGTCAGGGCCCCTGCACTGCCAATGACTCTATTCACGCTTTTGGGGAGCTGTGGGGAGCATGGCCATGTGCTCCAGGAAGCTCTGGAAAGAGGCCATGTCCCTTGGGAAGGCAGATGGATGGAAATGGCCTACCCCATGCATCAGCGGCACCCCGCAGCAAAGTGGTAGTCAGCTCTGGGCACTGGGCAGGCTGGGGAGCTGGGAAAGGCAAATGAAGAGGAGGTTCCTCCAAAACCTTTCTGAAGAACGAAGGGAGCAGGAGAGAGGGTGGGTGGCCGCAGGCTTGCAGGGCTCTTTCACAAAGACTGGAGCATCTACAGAAGGGTCAACTGCAGGCACAGAGACAATTCCAAGGGATAGGTAAGAGTGCCATGGACTTGTCAGAGACACATCTCACTACCCGCAACCTGTCTGTCCTTCCCTGATGGTCAGGTGACCCCAAGAGGAGGAGGTGGTGGCTGAGACACTAGGGACAAACGGGGCTCCTTGCTTAGCTCCCATTCCTGTCATGTCTCTTCTAACACCTCCAATGGCTCCTCTTTCTCCCGCTCTCTCCTTGCACCCAGGTTCTCCTGGACCCTGTCCTCCTGCCTCCATTGCCCCTCTGCACACCTCCTGGCCATGCTTAGCTGCCCTGCCTAGTCCTGCAGCCCTGCCCAGCAGTGCCACATCCACCCCTGTCCTGGAAGGGCTCCTGCCATAGTCCTGGGTCTCTGAGCTTCAAAATGTTGCCTGAACCTGTCTACTTACCAACTCTGCCCTGAGTTCATGCCATCATCATTTTTCAGTTGGTATCCCATGAGAGCCCTCTGCAGTGTTCCCCCGTATCTCTGGGTCGCCCTGCAGTCTATTCTCCACACAGCGAGCTGCAGGTACCTACATCATTCCAGAACCTTCCCATCACTTCCAGAAGACTGGAAGGGCAGACATAACTGGGGCCTGCCTCCCTCACTGACCTGCTCCTCATCCCTCTCCCTTTTGCCCTGATGCTCCTGCCACACTCCCTTCTCTCTTCCTTGAATGCAGCCGCATGTCTCTGACCCAGGGCCTTTGAGGCTGCCGTGCCTGCTGCCCAGAATGACCACTCTCATCACGTGTGTATCTGTGATCTCCTGGCATCTGTCAAGGCTCAGCTCAATTATCACTGAACACAGGCCTCACCTGTGCCTTGTCTGTGGGTCCCTCCTGAGTGCCCCCAGTGACTTTTGCTGACCTTTCTGTGGCCCTTAGTATCTGAGATTGTCTTTTCCCTTGTGAAGACTGAAGCCTCTGGGGCATCTTGTTACTCTCTGTATTCCTGGCCCCCAGCACCGGGCCTGGCCTTTAATCAGTCACAGTGAAGGCGGAATGGCCCAGTACCCATTTCCCTGATGGCAGATACACTCCAGGCCCCTGGGAAGGGCTGGCAGAGTAGGGTCATGTCTCATCATAGCTGGACCTTGGCCATTGTGTACTCAGCCCTGCTGTTCTCATGCCGCCTGGGTCTGGAGTCCTCATGCTAGAGACGGTCCTATCTTCTTTCACTGGTCACCCCAGAAGCACCCCTGGCAAAAACTGGGAGGCAGGAGTACCAGGCAAAAGGAGAGAGAGAGAGAGAACTCTGGTTCGGATCCCTGCTCCTCACTCACCCCTGAGTGGACAGGTCACATACTTCTCTGCCTCAGTTTCCCCTCCCATCAGCAGAGGGTACTGCTTTGATCATGAATGAGGTAACAGTGATGTTGTGTCCAGCATACCAGCAAGAACCAATGAGACATGAGCAGGTGGCCACCTGGCTGCTTTGGCGCCTACTGGTCCTCTGCCCTCCCAGGGCCTGGGGCTACTCGGGCAGCACAGAAAGTAGGACAGGGCTGCCTCCTGGTTCACACCTCTGCGGCTTCCCCAGGCCTGCCTGCTGCAGGAGAAAATGGGTTGCAGGCAGGACTCGCACGGGGATTCCTCATTTCCGCTCCTGTCTTTGGGGACAAACACTTTCAGTTTCATTTAATCACAAAGCTTCTTAATTAGCTTTTTTTTTTTTGGATTCTGAGTTGCTCAGCCTTCCCAGCTGGAGGGAACAGAATTGTAGGATCTTGCAGGGTCAGGACTTCCTGAGTCTGGGAACAGCTGGCCCAGCTGCCCAGGACACCGATTCCTAGGCCCAGTGAGGGGTGGGCTGCTTCCTCAGATCATCAGGTCCTTGGTGGTCACTTCCCTGAGACATCCAACAAACACCTCTTAAGCACCTGCTGTGCACCAGGTACTGGGAGCTCAGATGGGTAACGGCCAGATCTCAGCCAGGAGGAGTTGACTGTTTGGCACAAGGTTGAGGCAGGGAGCATGTTGTTCCTCAGTGATGCTCAAAACATCAGGAGTGTGACAAGTGCTATACCAAAGAAGGGTGCAAGGCAAGGAGAAGCTAAAATGGGACCAGCAGTGCAGGAGGGGTTCTCAGAGGAGGCGATGCTGAAGCTGAGGTTGGGAAACAGGAGTCAGGGTTGGCAGGCAGATAGAGGGAATTCATCCACTCGGCCACGGGTGCAGGTAGCAGCTTCCCACTCAGTGTTCTTTTTCCTTCACAAGCTCTGTCACTCCCTCCTTCATCCCCACAAGTCATTCATTTATTATTCACACCCTGGGGAGACCCAGGTACTCACTGCCGGTGTGTGGGGCTCTCAGAGAGAGAGTCAGGATCCACCCTTTCCTGGTGGGGGTGGCGTTTTCATGGGATCCTGTAGATTGTGACAGGTAGGGGATGGGATGGGGAGGGAAGGGTGTGACCATCGAGGTGCATGGGGGCGACAGACCTACAGACCAAGGATGTGCAGAGCTGGTTTCCACTGGCCAGGACATGATCTACCAGAAGGGGCTCATTAATTTATTGCTTCAGCCAGCATCTATCAGGTGTCTCCTTTGTATAGGCCCAGGATACTGGGGACAAGGTGGTGACTGAGAGAGAGGAGGTCCCTGACCTCCAGGAACACCCTGCCTAGAGGTGGAGATGTGTGAGAAAGCCAGCCATTGGAAGCAGCTGGGCAAGGCTGGTTCTGAGCCAGTGAGACAACCAGAGTCTGGCCAATCCAGCAACTAATAAGGTGCAAGGGCCAGGTAAAGCCTCAGAAAGTGGGGGTCCCTGGCAGCCTGGCCAAAACTGCCTCCAGCTCTCTTCCCTCAGCCTTAGGATGGGTCCTTTCCATCTACTTCCAGTTTCCAGTGAGTTTATCCTCACCTAAAGGACTTCCTATCAGTCATTTATACCTTAGTCTGAATGAAAGCCCTGTAACACCTTTCCCAGAGGTTCTTGCAGCCTCTGTGGTTGTCTGGTGCCTCAGGCAACAAGGGAGAGAAGTCATCAGTCAAAGGAGAGGGATTCGGCACCTTTCATATCCAGCCATGCGGTGGCCAGCTGCTGAATCCACCTTTCTGGCCCCCTATCAGCCATGCCCCATGTTCTCCTGTCCTCATATGGTGCAACCCTTGCCCATCCCAAAGTGGGCAGAGTGGAAGAGTGGGGAAGGGGGCACACCTGCCTCTGCTGGGGACCAGAACCATGCTGTGTGTGGTGCTTGCCTCCTCTTCTTCACTGCACAGCCCCCTACAAGAGCATGGTCTCATCTACATTGTACCAGGCAGAAATGGAGGCTCACAGGGGGAAGGCTTCCCTGGACCAAGGTCACACAGATGGTTAAGGATGGAGCTGGGTTTAAGCCCATGGTTCTTACCCCCAGTCCAATGTACTACTCAGTGGTTTCCAGCACTGGGTCTGTGGAGGGGGATGAAGGCCTGATCTAGAGGCCAAGGGGAAGGGGAACATCTTTGGCATAGACACAGAGTTGCTGGGGAGGAAGCCCTGGACAGAACCTCTCGACACTTCATAGATCTTCCCTGGAGAAGATACAGATGACAAAAACCAGTTCTCACAGCCTCAGGCCTGCTGAGGTCAAAAGGAAAGCAGATTTGATGGGGAGTGGGCTGAGGACCCTAATTCACCCAAATGGCTGCCTGAGCCCCCAGACCAGAAAAGCCAGGCTCAGAGAAGCCAAGACAGTTTCCCGAGGCCTCACAGCAGGGAGGACAGAGCCGAAGCTGGGTGGGGAGCCAGGTGGCCTGACTCTGAGGTCATGCTCTGTAACACCAGCGTGTCTGGCCTGGCAGGAGGCTGGGCCCGGGGCCAGCATGGGGAGAGGGTCCTTGGGGAGGTGGGTGGGAGGCTACCTTCTCATAGTACTGCAGCTCGTAGTCCAGGATCACACCGTTGGGCTGGTCCGGCTGCGACCACGACAGGGTGATGCTGTCCACCGTGCGGCTCACCTGATGCATGATGGACACGGCCGATGGCGCTGAAAGAGAGGCCAGAGGTCAGGGTCAGGGGTTGGCTTCTGGCACCTCCGAGGGAAACCGTGGGACTAGAGGAGACAGGGAATCTGCCTGAGGCCACACAGCCTGCTGGGGGAGTGGATAGGGGGCAGAGGGGCTCAGATGGGGCTGTGGGCTCCTGGTGGGCTCCCTGAGCTCCTTCAGTAACAGCTGACACTGAACTTTGGCCATCCTTGGAGAAGTTGGAACCACATCAAGTCACCAGGGATGTGCTGTGCCCTTCTTTGGGCCTGGGCCTGAAGGGGTTGGACAAGATGCCCCTCACTGTCTCTTGGAGGGTCCAGTCTATTGGATCAGGGGACACACAGAGCCTGGACATGGTGACAGGGGCTCTGGGTCCCAAAGGGGAGCAGAGGGTTTGGAGTGGGAAGAGAAGGTGAGTAATCCATTCATTCCTTCAGCAACTTTGCACGGAGTGTCTGCTATGTGTCGAAACATACAGCAACTAGTAAAACTGACCCCTGAATAAATATGCGTTTATCTGAACATGTCTACTCCCAAGACCTGAAAGCAGGTACTCAAATACTTGCCCATGAACGTTTAGGGCAGGACTATTCACAGTAGCCAAAAGGTGGAGACAATCTATCAACAGATGAACCAATAAAGAAATTATAGGTTAGGCCTGGTGGCTCACACTTGTAATCCCAGGTACTTGGGAGGCAGAGGTAGCAGGACTGCAGTGTGGGTCAGCCCTGGACAAAAGCATAAAACCCTATTTGAAAAATCAACTAAAAGCAAAAAGGACTAGGGGTGTGATTTAAGTGGTAGAACATTTGAAGCTCAGGACCATGAGTTCAAATCCCAGTACCACCATTAAAAAAAAAGAAAAAAATTGTGATGTTTACATACAATGGAATATGACTCAGCCATAAAAAGGGAGAAGCACAGATACACCCTACAAAGTGGATGCACCTCAAACACAGGAAAAGTGAAAGACACCAGTGGTCACCTATGAAGCACCTGGAGTGCTCCCGTGAGTCTGTAGGGGCAGAAAACAGAGTGGTGGTGGCCAGAGCCAGGGGCCAGGGGGAGGGGAGACACAGGGAATGGCAGGGGGTCAGGCACGAGGTTTTCTTTTGGGGGTGATGAAAGCATTTGGATGGTTTTAGTATGTCGTAAATATACTAAGCAACACTGAATTGTGCATGTTGAAGTGGCTAGCTGTACGTGACGTGAATTTCACCTCAATCAAACCCATCCATCCATCACTGAATCAATTCTCCTCCCACCTGCGCCATTTGCAGTCTCACGGAAGGGGATTAGATGAAGAAGACAGGGTCTGTGTCAGTGCTAGAAGGATGTTAGAAGTAATTTAGTCCAATTCCCTCATTTTATTTTTGGAAGCTGAGGTCCAAAGAGGGGCTGAGAATTGCTGGAGAGCCCAAGTTCATGGCTGGCAGCCTTTCCTTGACTCCTTCATTCACAACGCCCTGACCAATGAGCAAGCCTGCACAGAGCACCTACTACGTGTCAGATGTAGCCCTGCGCCTGTTGTCACGTGTTTTCTGAGCTGTCACAAGGGGCAACAGTGGCCCTGCAGACAGATGGAGATGCAGAAGCTCTGAGGGCAAGGGGCTTCCAGGGGTCACAAAGCCAGTGGGGGGCTCCAGAGAAGTCCTTATCCTAGAGGGGGACCATCCAGATTTGGGTCCCAATGTGCTTATCCCTGTAGTGTGACTTGCCAGCCCCTTTGCTTCTATGGGCCCGAGGGTTCATGGTCCCAGGAGGGGCTGAGACTCCCAGGATGGAAGGAACATCTCCCAAATTTTCTCCTGGCTTCTGAGCAGTTCTGTGACAGGCAGATGTCCCATCTAGGCCAACACAGGGTCGGGGATGGGGCCGCCCGAATGCACTGACTTCTCCTTCCAATTCCCATCCTGCTTTCCAGGACTTTGGCTGAGTAGGGTGCCTGCCTGGATCAGCCCAATGGGAGTTCAGGCTTAAGGCTTGGGACTGTCTCACCCATTAATCAGTCTCTGTTTCTGTCCTCTCAGGCTGTCCTTTCTGTCCTGCTGCTAACTGGCCATGTCACCTTAGGCCTGCTGGCCCCCTCTCTGGACCTGGTTTTCTCCTTTGCACTGTGGCCCAGGCTGGTGGGTCTGGGGCCTGGGTAACTAGGATGCTTCCTGCCTGCTCTTCTCTAATGGCTCTTGACCAAAGGCTAACATGGGCCTAAGCAGGCCTGGGCTACTCCCTGGGACCCCAAGGAGCCACGGAAAACCATCCCAAGACACTCTGAATAGGTGGCAGCACCCACAAGAAGGCCTCAGCCCCTGTTTCAGGTTTCCCGAGGCACCTCTGCTCCTTTCATGCTCAGGGAGGCTGCCTGGCCCTCAGCTCGGCTCCTGACCCTATCAGGGGCAATGGCTCTGGGATCAGAAGATGGATATGAGCTGCGTGCAGCATCTGGCACTCGACTAGTGCTGGGAACATCCATGGGGTCACTTCCGTGGCCCTGAGCAACTGTCCTGTGACCTCTCATTCGATCCTCTTAAAAACATCGTGGGATGCGGGTTAATATCTGTACTTTGTAGAAGAAAAAACAGGCACAGAGAAGCCTAGTGGCTTCCCCAAGGTCACACAGCTGGGGAGGAGCTAGGCTGGGGCTGGAGCCGAGTTATCTTGGCCTGCTATGTTCTAGGCTGGCCATCACAGCAGTCCCTGCCTCCTATCCCCTGCCTTTCCTAGTCCTGTCTCCAGCTCCCTTCTTCCCTCTCTTTGGGAGACACCTGTGTGAGAATGCCACAGAGCTGGCATTCTGTTCTATGAGACCTGGGCTCCTCTATGACACTTAGCTGAAAACAGAGTCCTTTCCTCAGTTTCACAGATCTGAGCTAATCTGAGGACCCTGACTGCTCCTTGGTGCTGGCCTTAGAAGAAACCCTCCAGCCCCCAGCTTCTCAGCCCCTCCCAGCCAACACCCAGGCCTGGGACCCCTCGGCTTTGTGTATGTGGGAGAGTTGAGAAATCAAGGAGGGCGCTGAACTTGGCTGCCAGAGATGTGGGCGTGACACTCCACCCTCCCTGCAGGGGCCTGAGGAAAGTTCTGGTGTAAGGCACTGGGGGAGGTGACCCCAGGGTCTCTTGAATGCTGAGTCCCTGGCCCCAGGGTCCAGCCCAGCAGGGTGGGAGGGGTGGGGGAGCTGTCTTCCTGTCACGTGGATGGAGCCCCATCTACACGCTGAACCCACAAGGATGGGGAGGGGCATTTAGTTACATCACTACCACGTGCAGTCGCTCACTCAGTGTTCCTACCGAGATGGACAGAGGCCCCAGGCCAGACTGTCCCATCCAGTCCCCAGAAAGGCAGTCCCTGCACGCAGCTCCCCTCTTTTCCAATCACTGACTTGAGGTCCTGAGCAGGCTTTCTTCATCCCTCTGTGCCTTGGTTGTCACACCTGCCAAGCGGGAGCCCTTACCTGGCATAGATGCTGTGAGTACAAAAGTGGGCATGCACGTGAAGGTCAGCATATGGTGCTGGCCACCACGGGGAGGGAAATGCTGTTAAGACGCGCCAGGTGTCGGGGGCTCTCAGGTCCTGCCTTCCAGCAGCTCACAGGAGAAAGTGTATTTCTCCTTCAACCTAGTGAGTGCCTCCTCCAGGCTGGGCACCACAGTAGGCCCTGGAGAGACCGTGAGACTTGGACTGGGTCCGAGTCTCCATTCAGAACTCAGCCAGGGGATCCAGGCTGGATGGAAGGCTGCAGCTGCTCTTTCCCATCTTTCCTTGCCATATCACGGCACAACAAAGAAGCAAAGTAGCAGAAGGTGCCTTTATTGCTCATGGCACTTTCCAAGCTGCAGTGGGCATGGGAAGAACCAGGAGCCTTGCTTACAACTCACTCTGCTGGGTGCCACCCCCTGAGCTGTCACTCAGCAGGTCTGGGTGGTGCCTGAAAGTTTGCATTTCTAACAGGCTCTAGGAGAGGCTGTACTCCTCAAGAGTAGTGGCTCACGCCTATAATCCTAGCTACTCAGGAGGCAGAGATCAGGAGGATCGTGTTTTGAAGCCAGCTCAGGCAAATAGTTCATGAGATCCTATTTTGAAAAAAACCATCACAAAAAAAGGGCTGGTGGACTGGCTGCAAAAAAAAAAAAGGTAGTGGATTCAGGGCCAGAGAAGGGAAGTGACTTGTCTAAGGTTACACAGCAGGGCAGTGCTGTGGCCTGGACTGGAGCAGCTGAGTGCTGGTGTCCACCCATGCTCTGTGTCTCACAGCTCAGCCCTGTGTGCGCCCATGCTTCCTGCTTGCCTAGGCTGGACTCTTCCCTATGGGTCCTCCAGCTCCTAGCCCTGAGGCAGAGGTACAGGTAACTCTGTGAGTAGGATGGAGACCAGACTGTAAGGCAGGTGGGAGTCCAGCTTAGGAACTAGCTTGGTCTTGTCCTAAAGGCACTGGGGAACGACAGGACACACAGTCATAGGACTGCGGTAGGGGTGGTCACCTGCTTCTGGTTAAAACAAGTTCGCTATGTTGACAACTCCTGCATACCCCATGGTACCCACCAAGAGAAGGCCCCTGCTCCCATGACTCATGCCAACACTCCTCTAAACCTATGAGCCTGGCAGTATTATACCCACTTTACAGGCAAGGAAAGAGAGGCACAGAAGTGTGAAGCAACTTCCCCAAGGTCACACATGCTTAGCAATGGAGCTGGGATTTGAACCCAGGCCCTCCAGGTTCAACCTGCTTTTTCCTCTTAACTGGCCACAGTTGACACAGGCTGACCAGGGAGGTCTGGGAAGCAGTGGCCGGCAGAGGGCCTCTGAGGACACCCTGGTGGCTCTACCCTCAGACTCACCTCCGCCCTGGCCCTGGAGCTCAGCTGTGGGGCAGTGGGTCTCAAACAGCATGGGGGTCTGGGCTACAGCTGGCTTGGGTTTCAGGCAGCTCTCTGGGCTCTGATCCCCTAAGCCCTGTAACCCGGGTGTGGCGAGGAGGTGGTATTTGCCGGGAAGATG